TATACACATATATATTTAGTTTTTTTAGAGACAGGTTCTCATTGTGCAGCCCAGGCTGGCCTTGAACTCACTATGTAGCCTAGGCTGGCTTTGAGCTTGTGGTAGTCCTCCTGCCTCAGCCTCCCAAGTGCTAGGATTATAGGATACTCCCACACCTGGCTAAAAGGTCCCTACATTACAGACAGGTGTGGCAATGTATTCGTATAATCCCCAAACTCAGGAAGCCGAGGCAGGAGGATCTCCATGAGTTTGACGCCAACCTGGGGTATATAGTGAGTTAGGGCCACGCTGAACTACACAGTAAGACCCTGTCCCAAACAACAACAGCAACAAGTAAATACATAAATATCCCTATATCAGCAGTTCCCAAACTGTCTGCACACCAAAGACACCTGGGAGCTTCAAAAAACACCAGAGCCTGTGCCCCATTTCCGTGGAATGCTACTGGTCAGGGCATGCTTGGAATGCTCAAGTTTCCTAGGTGATTCTCACATGCACATAAATTTGGGAACCAGTGGCCTACACCTGTTCAGTTAGAATTTGTAGAAGAAAGCCGGGCGTGGTGGCGCATGCCTGTAAACCCAGCACTTGGGAGGCTGAGGCAGGAGGATCACTGTGAGTTCGAGACCATCCTAGGCTACACAGTGAGTTCCAGGTCAGTCTCAACTACATAGTGAGACCCTGTCTCAAAAAACAAAACAAAACAAAAAAATAATTTGTAGAAGAACCAATATGAATATTTCTTTTCAAATTTCTCAGAATTCTAACGTGCAGCCAGAGTTGAAGCACTGGCTCTTGACTGTAGTCAAGAGTAAACCACAAGCCAGACGCAATGGCCTCTGCCAGTTATCCCAGCTACTGGGGTGGCTGAGGCAGGCAGAACAACCACAGGCTCAAGGCCAAACTGAGCAACTTAAGCAAGACTCTATCTAAAAAAAATGAATAAAAAGGATATGGGTAAAGCTCAGTGGTAGGAAGCTCATCCAACATGTGTGGAGCCCTGGGTTCAAATTCCCAATTCTGTGCCCAAGACAAAAGAATCAGTGGCACATACTTGTAATCCCAGCATTACGGGAGTCTGTGGCAGGAGAATCACAAGTTCCAAATCCAGTCACTTTAGTGACTTGTAAGATCCTATCTCAAAATAAAAACTAAAAAGGGCTGGGGATGTAGCTCCTTATGAAGGACCTGGGTTTGATCCCCAGTACCTCAAACAAACAAAAGAATCAGCCACATCCTCGGTCGTGAGGCTGAGTTGGCATAGGGTTTGCCCGGACCCATCTCTCCGCCAACTTCCCACCTGTGCTTCCACCGCATGTCTCCTTCCACCGAGAGGACCCTGCCACCATAAACATGTCCCCAGTCACCTCTAACTGGGTGCATCAACATAGGAGGGACCCCCAGCCACAGCTGCCTACACACAAGGGCTTGCTGAGATTTGTCCTCAGCCTCACCCTCAGAACCGCCCTTCAGTCGGGGATTTAGCTCAGTGGTGCTGCCACCTGCCTTGCAAATGCAAGGTCCTGAGTTTGATCCCCGGTACCCCCCCCAAAAAAAAACAAAAAACCAAACACCGGCTCAGTGCCTCATACTTCCTGAAGGCCTCATTCCAAAAGGGTGTGCCGAGATGAAAAAAGCTCGAGCCTTCAGGGAACAAATCTCCCTCCCCAGCACAGCATTTTCCAAGGTACGACACATGCTCTACCCCTGGAAAAGATTCATACTGCGCGTGAGCACCGAAGGCTCTGAGGAGGCCGGCAATAGGAAGCCTGTTAAACTTGGGTTATCAGGCCTTACTCTAACTGGTGGCTCTGCCCGCCACTGAAGTTTTAAATTTAGATGCACTGAATCTCCACCGCATGCTGTTAGGAAGTCTAGAAGCCTGGTAAGTCAGCTTTGGGTGTCCACACCTACATCCCATCTGGTAGTACGGCTTATCACTTTTCTTTTTTAAAAAAATGGTACTGGGGATTGAACCCAGAGCCTTCATGCTGAGCTACATCTCCATCCCTTTTTTATTTTGTGACAGTGTCTCACTAAGTTGCCCAGGCTGGGCTCAAACTTGCGATCCTTCTGCCTCAGCCTCTCAGAGTCCTGGGATTACAGGCACAGGGCACCACCCTGGCTGACTTGTCATGTTTGTCTTTAACACCCTGCAACTCTCACCGGCCTCCATCACACTCACACACCCCACAGCAGCAACACCAGATGTCTGCTCGGCCTCTGCCTCTGCCTTTGCAATGACCTCCCTCCCACCTGAGGGGAAGGCAACAGGGCTGACAAGGCAGAGTTAAGTCCTCACACGCCGGCCTGCTGTGCCAGCTGCAGGGTCTTGAGCAAGTCATTTCACCCAGGTCCCACTGTCTTCATCTGCAGGAAGATGATTTTAATGGCAACGCGCTCACTCACCAGTGGTTGTGAAGAACCACGCATGACAGACTGTGACACTCACCTGTCCCTCCATGCCAAGGCTCACCTCCTTCCTCCAGGGCCTCCTGCACCTGCACCCTGCAGCTTACTCCCTGACTGCTCCCTCTGTGTATGTTGGGTTTTTCTGGTGGTACCGAGAAGCAAACGCACAACTTTGTGCGTTGGTTTATTGGCTCCCTGAACCCAAAGGCCAATCTGCCACCTCCTTGCGTGCTGACAGCCTGTCGGATTCACCACCTTCCTCCTCCTACACCCGCTGGCTGCCATACATACTCCTTAAAAGCAGGGCCCTTGCCTCACTCCTGCATGCATCATCTGCACACACCTGGTGCCCAGGAGGCACTCAGCGGAGCTTGCTAAAGAAACCTCGCACCAAGCACCCATCAGCCAGGGCTTGATGGATTACACACTTGAACCCCGACCATCAGGAGCAAGCACCACCCTATACGAACATGCCAGAGAATATGTTACAGAAACAGCAAGGGCCAGAACAATCCAAAAACCTCTGCGTGGCAGTTATTCATCAAACTCTGCACGAACATGCCAGGAAAGAGGTCAGACTCAGTTGGCCAGAAAAAACGTCTGCGGTCTTCCAGATCTTTCCTAACCCAGATACCGTGGCACCCCTTCCCGCGTGCCTGCTCCTTCCTCCCTGCTTCAGTGTGGGAAAGCACTGCTTCTAGACCAGACACCCTTGGAGGAAGGCTTCACCCTGCCTCCCACTTAGGATAAACGCAAGAGGGGCCACGGAGATTCCTAACTAACTCCGAGTGCCACAGAGCAACGACTGCTTGCACTCTCAGTCACTTGACTGAGCCCCTCCTCAAGTGACATGGACGGTGGGGCCCTATAGGACTCCGGTCTGCTGTGGCTCTCCACCAGGGCCAATTGGGCTCCAGGGGGACACCGAGCCATGCTGGAAACATTGTTGAGTATCACACTGGGGGACAATGGAGGTGCCAGTGGCATCAAGGGGAAGAGGCCTGGGGCGCTGCCAAACATTTCCCAAGGCAAGGACTGCCCCACCCCCAACAAATGATTCCCCAGCCCAAGGCATCAATAGCGCCAAGGCTAAGACACCCCATACTCCTGTTCCAGGGTACAAGAACTCCGAAGTCCTGCCGCCTCTCCTTCCCATCCGCCCATGCTGCCCTCTGGACCCAAGTCTGGGAAGTCCTGCCCCGGGCATACACACAAACCTTCCAATGCCGGTGGACAGGATGGCAGTGGAGGTCTTCAGTTCCTCATAGAGGTCCGCGCCATTCAAGGGGAAAGCTGAGAACTGAGCCAGCAGCACCCGCCTCAGGGCAACCAGGGCCTGCCAGAGGGGCGACACTCAGGTTGCCCAGGGGTCTCGCAGGTGGGACAAGGTCTCCTGCACCCCGCTGGGAAACGGCTGCTCCTGAGGCTTAGGGAGGGGCACCCGAAGACACGCAGGTATGGGGCGTGCAGGCCCCGAGCTCACCTTGTAAGACAAGCCACACCTCTGGGCCACCTCCTCCAGGTCTGCCGTGGCCAGGTCCACCACTGAAAACGAGACACGAGGCTGACGGGCAGCGAGGGCGGCCTGGGCTTCCCCACGCTGGCTTTTCCTCCTCTATGCAACACGCAACACGGCGTCCGTTCCACTCCCGCAGGTGACCGGCGCGAAATAGCCTCAGAACACAGCACCCCCCCCATCCGCCAGGATTTGGCTCCCGCATTCCCAGCCTCCCCAGGGGGTCGTGAGCCTCCAGCAAGAGGGGAAGCGCAGGAGAGTGCGCCCCGGCGGGTTGCCCAGGTTGTGCGGAGGGCTCCCTGGCACGTGCCCGCGAGGTCACCTGTCTTGATCGCGCGGCTCCTCAGAAGCTGGACCATCTCCTCGGTGAGGCCCGGGCACAGTCCGGCCCTGAGCACGCCCATGCTTCCTACAACCCGGGGACAGCCCGGGCGGGCTCGGGGGCGCCCCTCTGCGCCCCTTTCTGGAGAGGACCCTGGGCGCCGGCTGCG